ATATATACTGTCTACCGACAAAACGTCTTTTTTATAAAGATAGATATATCTACTGTGTATTTAAATTAGTAATTTAAGTCAACGACCCCAGCATTAAATTACTATTTGGTGTTTTTATGAATTAGTGGTTTCGTAAAATAAGACGTTTTGTCGGAATTGATAAGTGTTATAGATATGTTTATAAAAATCAAGTCGGGTAGTCGGTCACAAAGGGTAGTCGATCAAAATCAATTTTGCCATCAAGTGCCTATGACACTGTCTGCTTTTGTTTGCATAGATCCCTTATACCTGTGTAATTTAATTATCAGATAAGTGTACAATAAGGAATTGCACCACAACATATTTGTTATCAAAAGAACACGTTAAATCTATTGTTATTTAAATGAAAGGTCTCAGTACGGACCAATCAATAAAAGCGGAGGATCCCAACGCATGACGTGTTCTTGTAAAAAAAAAAACTACAATGTATTAATAGATCTGATTCTCCACTGACGAGAACCGCATCAGTGACTGTATAATCCTGTACAATGTAGATGGTAAGTACACTTTTAATTTATTTTTTTATAAATGTTATAAATACTAAGCTTGCAGGGTCAATATTCACTCGTTAACATAGAAAACAGATCATACAACATTACAGCACATACATGATTATTAAGATCAATAACTGATTTAATATTCCAGTATTCGCATAATTGTACAGTTGCTAGGAAAACATACAAATGTAATACAAAATTGAAATTGATACTAGATCTAATATATGTGAGCTACTTATATGCACTGAGTAATTAATTACTGCTTACTGTTGTTTTTTTCTTAGAACAACATCAGTAATAACAATAGACGTGAAAAGTATTATGTCTAACCAGTATATACGGGCATAGAGTCTGCATGGTCTAACACTTCCATTATTTTCAGAAACCTAGACAGTTTTTCAAGTCAATTAACAGAAATATCTAAGTTACACTTAAACTTAGATTCACAAGAATTAACTTATTAAATTCAATTTGCAACAATAATAAAAAAAATATTGGCACATTAATAATTGCACTTATAAGAACGCTATAAAACCCAAATAACAACAGAAATGTTACATAATAATTCAACACAATCATGGACAGTGATATAACTACTTTAATTTAGTTTTCATTTTGTAAATTTTTAAAACTAGAATTGAAAAATCTTTTTCGGTTACTTCAACAAAGCTTCAACAAAGCTTAAAAAATTCTTTTTCAGTTTCTTAACAATATATTGATATATTCTAGACAAATGTTTACTAAAAATAAATAATGAAGTTACGTCAGCTGTAAAACAATGCACAGGTACATATTGTTCAGGTGTTGGTTTCCCTCGAGGCTGGTTTACAAGCTGATACAAGCAATAAACAATAATTTGATTGTTCATATAAGAACAGAGAAAATGCTGATTTTGCGATATTACTTACACCAATATATATACTTGAAAAATACGAGTTAATGAAGGTATTTTTGTTAAAAGAAAATAAGTAAAAACTGTATACAGAGCTTCCGAGGACTAGACTGAAAATTGTTAATTAATCTGAAATATCCTCCATTTTCAACCTAAACATTATTTAACATGTTTTCATTACTTGATAATGATCAACATCGTTGGTATTTTAATTAACATTGATCGAATCTCTTAGAAAGACAATGGAGCATATTTAATTCATATTGCTGTAGTATTTCATTGTTTTAACAGTGACATGATATATGGGTCCAGCTGAGATAGCTAGGTTACTCGTATATTTTTTAAGATGGATTATTTTTATGACGATTGACTGACTAATCATTGATAATCATGAAAGTTTAATATAATAATAAAATAAAATAAAATATAAAAACTGCCTAAAATAGAAAAACTTTTTATAAATTGAACACACTATTTTTCGAAAGAGATTTAAAAATATTTATGTGGTTCACGGCGGTTAAACGATTACTCAAGTGGCGTTTCTTATAAAAAGGTAAAAAAAGTTAACACGAACACTCCCCATATAGGCACCAAACAAGTCCAACACTCCTAAATCGTTTTAGATAACAATGTTGACCGCATGCCATTATTCAAACTCGGGCTTGATAACGGATTGAAATGTGATTTTAGGTGTAAACAAAACAGACGAATAACATGTATAACGAGTGTATATTTTTGGCATCCAAATGAAAATAAAGTCAATTCCTGTAAAATTATGATAGAAAACATGTGCGACAATCAAAATAAAATTTACATCTCTAAACAAATCTAAATTAATGTCAACCAGTAGACATTTTATACTTCATAATAATACATGTAGGTATATAAATTATATATTGTTTACTTTTTATATCTATAAATTTTCTTATAGTTTACTCCGCCCCTTCCTGTGCTTTTCATTCAATCATCATCGAGAGATTTTCAATTTTTCGCATCACTAATTTGTATATTTAAACATTTTGCACAATATCTTTTAATCGTTTACCTCATATATACGCGAAAAAACGCAATTTCGACCCCAAAAACATGTGCTGTTTGGGCCCCAAATTAACGCATGTTTTCGATAAAAAAGTGATCACTTTTTCGGCGCCGCCCTCATCAGAAAGATACATGGGGGGGGGGGTGCCAGAAAGGGGATGTGCCCCCTTCTGTTTGGGGGGGGGGTGGTCGACGGAGGCTAAAAATGACCCCATGTCGATCATAAGGTAACGTGTTTAACCAACGCTGAAAAGCCTTTGACGTGATCTGAATCCTTTGAGAAGTTTCAGCACTTTAAAATCAACTGTTGTCATGGTAACATTGAGCATGTTGTTACAAAGGCAATGGTCCAGCCAAGTTTGATTAGTATTGAAGCAGTTTTTATAGTTTTATAGCAATTTGAACTTGTAACGGGAGACTTTTCAATGAAAACAGCCATTTTTTTACAAAATGCCCATGCAGTAATGGGTTAAGTAAAATCATTCAGTGAAATATTAGACGGTGTTGGAACCCCATATGTATCTCAAAAGATTCCACAAGTTAGTCATAGCGACGAGACTGTTATGTGGAAATATCATGTCCTGGTGCGACATCGAAAGGTTTTCTTTACAGAATTTGGGCCGAGAGGAAAACACAAGATGCCGCCCCAGGTCATGATATTTGCAATTTTGAGCAGCGATTCCTTCGTTAGAAGCCATACCCCAATAAATGTTTAAATCATTGTCAGAATGTTAAGCATCAGTCTGTAGTGAGATTTTGTAAAATTTCTTGAGTCCGTTTAGTGACATTTTCTTCATACACATTGCATGTTTTGGACACACCAGAAAGAATATCTCGATGAAGACTGCATAGACATCCAAAACAAAGATGGGTTATGTAAAGGAGAGTCATGAGGGTAGAATCACATTTCGATTTTCTTCAAAAAAGGATTGAATTTTATATAACTGTTAAAAAAAGTTAAAAACTAACCCTGCGATCGACCTATTTTCACAGTCACATCTGGTTTTATGCTTCACATCTGGAGCAGAGGAAATTCACATCATTTTTGAGATACATATGGGGTTCCATCCCCGTGTGAGTGCAGTTTCCAAATAAGGACAATTTAGCACCATCTACTGGAAGTGAAATTCTTATTGTATCCACTAATTCTGATAATTAGAATTAGACAGGTCAGGGATCTATGCATATCCTATTATTGGCATGGCGTAAATTACACGAAACGGATCGACAAAAAGGGCAGAGTAATTAACGCTCTCTTGCACTTAATTTGTACATACATTTAATTCTAATAAAAATGTACCAGAATTCATACGAAATGTATCCTGTACTTACTGAGCAGCTACATGTAGTTCTGGCTTCCAAAACTTTTGAAGCCACTTTTTAACATTTTTGTTTTTCATCTGATGCGGCGTCATGCAATAGTATATAAACGGGTACGCTGAAGACCTTTATCTACTGAAAAACCTGTCTGACGAATTTCAAGAATATGAGATGTGCAAACTTTAGTGTTTGACCCCAGATGACCGATAATTGAACCTCAGACGTCATCAAAACAACCTTTCTGACAAATTTCCAGGATATTTGGACCGAAACAGTAGCCTCTTTAGTGTTTAAAAGTTCGTCCAAATTTTGGCTGTGTGACCTTGTTTTTGATACCAGGTGACCCATATCCGATTTAGAGCTACAAATCATCAAACAACTTTCCTAACCAATGTCTAGGATATTTGAACCAAAAAAGTAGCCTCTTTAGTGTTAACAAGATCTATTTTTGGCTCCTTCATCCGAGATGACCCATGTTGGAACTCGTCCTAGCAATTACTGGGACAAACATTCCGTCCAAGTTTAGTGTCAATTCCGGCAAAAAAAAAAAAAAAAAAAAACAATCCAAAAATCCCACCCTCAACTAGCTCAGATAAGCTAAGAATCTTTTTACTTTTTTCAGTATCAACGCAATTCTTCATGCCAAATATCTAAGCTCAGGCACCGTGTTCACAAAGATTTTAGGATCACGATCAAGACCAGGATCAAATTAAAAAAACTTAATATTCTTCATTATTTATCCTCATAGATTAAATATCAAATATTAATTTGATAAAACTGGACTTGCAAAAGCAAGTTTATGAAATTTTAGATTATTTATTGTTATCTTTTGCAAGATATGGGCATTTTACAGTTGATCCAAATATTGATCCTGATCCTAAAATTGATCTTTTTTTTAATCCGAATATTTTTTTTTTAATTTTTGTTATTTGTTGATTTTATCCCAAAATAGTTTGGTTTCTATGCAAATCAAGATTTTTTTGAATTTTGAAGATTTACCATTTAATTCTAGCAAAGCACAATTAATTATAGTAACATAAAACAAAGACAAATAAAGTCTGGTCACTTGATCCTGATCTTTTTTGGTGAACACGGGGCCTGGATAATGTTGTTTTACAAAAAAGATTTTAATGTATTTACCTATATAAGTCTATATAAGCAAAGTGGCCTCTGACGCGGGGCCAATTTTGACGATTGGGCTATAATAAGAAGAAGACAGAAGAAAATTTTATTTCACTTATACATTTACATGTATCTCGTTATACATCAATACATATAAAACATTTTGTCACGGTTGGTATTCAAATGAAAGAGAATAATTAATGTTTCAGTTTATACAATATGGAGAATAAGCTCTAATAAATATGAATTAGATATTGAATAACAGCAATTGTTCACTAATAAAGTGTCTAACAGTGAACATAATGAATATTGTTATAGTCTTAAAGCCTAGGATATGAATTCAATAAATCATTTCTTTTCTTATTGACTAAATAAATGCATTTGCTAAGATTGTTAAGAACAGATTTATTGTTTGACTTAAGCATTTCTATGAATTTGTACATACTTGGTCTATGATAAAAATAACGTTTAATTAATCGAATTCTGAATTCATGGTAAACACTGCATATAAGAATAAAATGATACACGGCTTCAATCTCAGAGCATTGACACACTTGGCATAATCTTTCCTGTCTATCTATTCTATTCCTACCATATCTACCTGTTTGAATTCTAAGATTATGTGAAGAAATTCTTAAAAGCGTAATACTACTCCTTAGATATTTAGATTTGATAGTATTTAAATAATTTTCAAAATTTAAATGTTTTTAGATGAATATAAAGAGTGTTTAAAACACTATTATTGTTTAAATCTGCTTGCCATTTTTGTTTTAAGCAATCCAAAACTCTTTGTTTAAAATGTACCAAAAATGCATTTATATTAATTTCATTTGGATTCAAAAATACATCTGCAAAACCATAAATTTCTAATATTAGTTTATCATTGTTTGTCCAATTTTTGACACCATTTAAACATTGTTTTAATAAGTTATTATATATCGTATTTAAAATAATATTATTTGTATTTGAAATTTTCAACCAATATTTTATCAATTTTCACAAAAGGGCTATCATTTGAACATTTTTTTTTGAGAAATCCACTAGACAATATTTCATGCTAAATATCTAAGATAAAGCCCTTGCAGTTTTCATGAAAAGTTTTGAAGTATTTACAACATATAAGGAAAAGCCATGACCCCTGCACTGACGGACAAAGGGACGCCAGACAAATAGTGATCACAAAAGCTCACCTACAGCATTTTGTACTCCGGTGAACTTAAAATGTTTGTGGTTTCACTGTATTTGCCTGAAATAATAAACAGGTGTGGCAGCATATGACGTTTCTCTACACCAATAAAGCTGGAAATTTGCCATAAGAACATATAACCTCAATGTGACAAAAACGAAATGTTATACTGGTAATGAATTGAAAGCACACATTGTAACAATTATAACAAAACAGTTCATGTTTATTGTCATACATCTAACAGAAATAACAGAATAGGCACATGGAATCCCAATATTGTCGATATTCAGGAAACCCTACAAATACTGTGTTAATCATGCAATCACGTGTTTCAGAGAACTACACTCCTTAATTTCTGGAAAGCAGACGATATAGCAGCTGTTTTGTATGTAGTGATGCCACTTACATCATTGATGGTATCCTGAAAAATGTAAGTTAACATTTACATATTTTCTGGAAATTGCATAATATTATGTATTGGATAAATTATTCATATCAATTAATGTATATCATTTATGCACTTTGGGAGAATAGCTGTGAAATTTTAACTTTTAAAATATAAACTACTCGATAAACGCAACGCACTGCGGGGACAGTCAGGTGCTAAACTTAATGCCCTCGCACTTGACATATTCACAGCTATTATGGTGAAATAACGAATGGTAAAAACTTCGTTCTACCACTAACAAATTTAAGTATGTACAAGTAGAAAATCGCTGGCTCAATGTTGCAAGAAATCTTGAAAGTCGTATATATTGAAATAAATGAAAGCGAATACCTCTGCTATTTTGATAGCTTTCCGACACTGTTGTACTGAAAGCGCTGGTTGCTTTTTAATTCCAAATGCTTGTGCAATCTGAAATTATTAAAAAAAAACACCATATTTAAGTATACCTGACTGCAAGCTGACAGTTCTAACAAACTGATTTGAGAAGTTTTTTTGACTTTGAATTATTTCTGTTACATATCTTTATTTTTTTTATCAAGAAAAAGGAAAAGCCATTCAGTTTTTTTCTACATACATGTATTTACGCATTTGCGTCTTGTAATTGGCTAAGATCTTCTTTGAGAAGTTCTTGTTGTTATGCGTTAATGTAAGCCAAACACATGATGACTTGGAAGACGAATAATGCAAATAATTGCAAGATTTTATGACGTAAAACTTTAAACAGTAAACACATTATTTGAACTACGTGACTGAACTATGCCCTCAATATCAGCCCAATATTAAAAGAATCGTCAAAATGATGCATGTTTTTGATATACACCTCTGAATACACTCTTACATTGTTGTACACTCACTTTTAAAGCACAACAAAAGAATAATTTCGTAAAACACACACACAAATTGTTTTAATGTAGATTTATTAAAGAGCGTGAGAACCAGGCCTTATCAGCTATGAACTAAGATTTAAACAAGGATATTTCCGCAACCGAAGGATTCTAACTGGTAAAGAAGTCTAAACTGACTTAAACCCATGACCGTGTGCATGCCAGGTATCAACACAATAAATTCAGGCTTGATAGGGAAAGTAAAAACATTTTACTTAACAAACAGCAAACTCTAATCTTCACACAATATTATCAAGTCCTTTTACTTGATGTTTTTTTTCAAGAAAAGATAACAACTCAAGCATTATCATGGAATGGCTCTTTATAGGATATCTTAAACAAGGATGCCATTGGCCCTAATACGCTCACCTGAGTAGTAAATGCAATTGATATACAAACGTGAAATTACCAGCTCTTAAATTCAATTTTAACCCTAGGGCTATAATTTGAACAATCTTGGTAGAGTTCCACTACACAATGCCTTATGCCAAATATCTAACCTCAAGCCTTTGTCAATTCAGAGGTAAATATTTTTTAAGTTTTCACTATATACATATAAGGAAAACCTATGACCACCAGGGCCGGGCCAATTTTGACCCTAGGGCTATAATTTGAACAACTTTGGTAGAGGACCTCAAGATAATATTATATACCAAATATCTAAGTTCTAAGCCTTGTACCTTCAAACAAGAAGAATTTTTAAGTTTTGACTATATACATATAAGGAAATCCTATGACCCCTTGGGCGGGGCCAATTTTGACCCCAGCGCTATTATTTGAACACCTTTGGTAGAGGACCTATAGATAATATTATATACCAAATATCTAAGTTCTAAGCCTTGTACCTTCAAACAAGAAGAATTTTTAAGTTTTGACTATATACATATAAGGAAAACCTATGACCCCTGGGGCGGGGCCAATTTTGACCAAAAGGCTATAAGTTGAACAACTTTGGTAGAGGACCTAATGATAATATTATATACTAAATATCTAAGCTTTAAGCCTTGTACCTTTACACAAGAAGAATTTTTAAGTTTTTACTATATACATATAAGGAAAATATATGATCCCCTAGGGCGGGGCCAATTTTGACCCCAGGGCTATAATTTGAACAACTTTGGTAGAGGACCTTTATGTGATATCGTATACTAAATATCAAAGCTCTAGGCCTTGTACTTTCAGACAAGAAGATTCTTTAATTTTGCATTTTAAACTCCTTTTCTACTTATGCAACAGACCGGAACCATTTGAACAACTTTGGCAGGGGACCACCCAAGGATCATTCCTGTAAAGTTTGGTTACTGTGCAGTCATTGGTTTCTGAGGAGATGTTGTTTAAAGAAATTGTTGACGACGCACGACGACGGACGGTGGGGGATCACAATAGCTCACCATGAGCACGTTGTGCTCAGGTGAGCTAAAACCATGTAAATATGTCAATAATTAAAGTAAGAATAAAATAGTGAGGAATAGTCTGCACATATGTATTTTTTCTCCCCCCCCCCCCCGAAAATAGGAGAGGAGTAGTCTCAGATAGGAAAAATGTCAGTTTATTTTTATACAGATACTAGATCCCCTTTGGTAAAATATGCTTTACTACAAATGTTATCTACCTCTTGTTCCCGGCGACTAATGGCTTTATGCCAAGCTGCAGCAATAGATAGGCTGCTTCTGACTATCACTTCAAATGCATCCATTTCTCTGGTCGATACATTTCCATCTTTTATCTCGTAATTTCCCATTGGCACTACACTTAGATGCACGATATGCCCAAGAGCAGTCGATAGCTGGCAGTTGGAAGGATTTATGCCACTGTTGTCTGACACAGCCTTACCAAAAAGTTCTACTAGAATTTTATGAGCTACTGAATTGCAAAACAAATATACAAGTGTAAATACAATAAAAACAATAAAGTTCTATAATGGCTTAAGACAAGTTTAACATTTAAATCGAAAAAATGTTTTCAATGACATAATGTTTATTAAGCATAAATAGTGTTTTTCTTTTCTTAATATGATAGAAAACTCATGAGCCCCACAGACCAGGTATTTACTCATTTATCTATGGTAAAATTTTCATCAACGGGATTTTGTTATATGATAGTTTAACCACTATTGATAAAACAAATAGCCTCTTGCGAAGAGCACACTGGAATGTTTTAGCACAATTCATATTTTCTCTCCCATTTTCTGTCCTTTTTAATAATCACTCGTATTTGACAGGAAAGGTTAAGCTGAAATGCCTTAACTTCAAAGTATTGGAAAACGCCTATCCTCGAATTTTTGGATATAAAAGCCTCATTTACCTTTATCCTGTCCGTCATTTCCAACTTCCGGTTTAGGTAGATAAAGAATATTCCTTGTGGTGCATGCAGCCGTATCATCAACACCTAAAAAATTATATAAAGATTATATAAAATTGTTTTGGAAACAAATTGTACCATTCGATGAAATATCCAATGACATTTGGTGTCATTAGACGAAACATGGTCGTGACGTGAGTAAATGCTTAAACCATTGTAACGATTCTTGGTTTTGACAGCAGACATCTTAATGCTGCATGCCTCAAGTTCATGCTAATTTTCAAGATGATTACTACAAAATCAGTCATTAATCGCATAATATTAACATAGTTGTAATCATGAACCTTTTTAATTTTGATAAAAATTAATACGTTTTTCTCAAATGATTTTCTTGAAATATTTTGGCTCATTTGGAGGCTTTTAGCTTTAAACGTCAAATGTCTAAAGCCGCCTTGGTCTAAATTTGAGGTTTGTCGTTTCAAAAAAGAGGTCTCTCAGTAAAGGTAATGTTAGTCCACATAAACACAAAGTTCTATGTGATTTAAATCTGGACATAATATAAGCTAGTTAATTTCTTGCCTTATTTGACCCAATGTTACTCATATCCACAGGTATATTAACACGTGTTCCTAAAGACTGCGATAAGTATGCAAAATAAATTCTGATAATTCGCGTTTTGGTATTATACTACATACTACATTCATTTTAGCTATTCAAATAACCATTCCGTTCATTTCAATAGGAAAATGTTCTGTTTATTAGGAAAAGTATTGATCGTAATGAATACTCGTCTGGTTTATTAGCTATTAAACGAATGAATTTGAAAATGTTAATCCTTCTGGATGGTCGCACAATAATTGTTCAAAATATCATATTACCTTATAAGTTGTATTTAAAGAAATTTGGCAATATTGAATTCATTTCCACCTAATTCAAATCGATCAAGGTCTATTACATTTATTTTACATAAAGTTGTGACTTATTTAATGCTTAATTTTATCTTAATATCAATTCATATTATCAATAGATAATGAAAATTTGTGAAGAGTATTTGATCAAGATACATGAAAGGACTATGTTCTCATGTTCAAGGTAAGCTTTAAATATGATACATACATGTACATATATTAACGATTAAGTTAAAACATATTTCATTTCAAACATTTGCACAAAAACATGGCGTTCATATTTTTCTTGTTCTGTCGTTCGCTCTACACAATCACACCAGTATCGGCGATGAAGGTTGTGGTTTTCCTCAGGTCCCCATAAAACTTCTGATGGAGAGAAGTGTCTTGAGACCACATCGCAGTTCGCTCCTGATCGTGTCGTCTAAATCTTTGGAGAACATGCCCAACAGTTTGATCTTCCTCTCCGCAATCACATATCGGTGAGTGAACCTTATTGAACTTCTTGTACATGTGGTAGTTCAGTCTGTTATGTCCTGAGCGTAGTCTCACCATTATAACTTGTTGTGCCCTGTTCAGAAGGTGTTATGCGTCAAGTCTGGGCCTTGAGAGTTTCTTGATTATCTTGACTTTTCCTTGGTAAGTTACTACAATGCTTGCCTGTAACAGTGTAATGTTTTTCTTTGTTGCCAGATGTGTACCTTATGACCACACCAGCCCCTCCATCTTCAATAGCTCTAGTAGCTGATCCACATGCATCAAATGTGTGATTGGTAGTCTTGGTCTATCATAGCTTTTGTTCGTCTTTTCCGGATATTTTCATCTTCTTGTTTTCTGTGTGTCCGTTGCGGCACAGTAAAACAGATTTTCACAGTAGACATGTCGTTTGCAATAGGGTCCGTGATATCTTCATTTCACAAAGGGGCTGTCTCTATTTATATCACTTCTGGGTACTCTTTATTCAGAATCTTGGCTTTATCAATGAAACTGCAATGTTTGAGCCGATTTTTGTGTAGCCAGATAGTGTGCTTTAATCGGATAGTCTGTAAAAGACTTGAATTTTTCTGCCTGTATTAAGACTTTGGCTTGCCTTCTTTCAATAAGAGACTGTATACCTGTTACTGCTTCCATGAATGTTATGGGTGTAGACTTGGTGGGCCCTGTAATGATGCAAAGTGCTTGATTTTGGACCTTGTCTACAGCCTGTTGGTTAATTTTGGCTGTGACTGACCAGGATGCTGAGCTGTACTCCATTTTGGGCCTCACTGTTACCTGGTATACTGATTTGAGTATTTGCTCATTAGCTCCCCATATTGTTCCTGCATGCTTAAGCATCATTGCTAGTTTTCTTCGTGATTTGCCTTCTTCTCGGATAAAATGTGGCTTCCATGTCTGCTTCTTGTCAAAGGTAATACTTAAGTTTGTCGCCTTGTCTTCTGCTACCAGGGGTGTATTTCTCATCATGATCTTGCCTGGTCTCTGTTTTGATGACAAGGTGAACAGAGTGGTGGACGACTTGTCTTAATTGATCGTAACGCACCATTCTTCAGCCCATGCGGTAAGCTTGTCTATGGCTTGTTCAAACCTGTACTTGGCTGTGGTAGCATTCTCTTCTTTGCACCATAAAAACAAGATCATCTGCATAGGTTGCTGCCCGACCACCCTTTGGCTATTCTGAGAAATAACACTACCTTGGAGGACAAGATGACGCAATAGGAACTTTCTACTTTTGGTTTGGTTCAAGCTGACTTGCTCTTCTGTTGTGAAGGTATGATTTTATCCACTTCAACTTGGCTCTTTTAACTCCATTTTTCATCGGTTTCACTAGAAGCCCGTTAGTCCAAACTTTGTTAAACGCTCTTTGAAGGTCTATCCATGCTGTAAAGACAACCTTCTGTTCTTGGAATGCTGTGCAAGGTATGTTGTCTGGACTTCAGTTAAGCCAAATTGTCTGAAACCAGCTTGTTCTGTAGCAAGTAGATTGTTGGTTTCCAGGTATCATTTTAGGCGTTCGTTCACAATCCTCTCCATTGTCTTTACTGCGCAGCTACTGAGGCTAATTGGCCTGTAACTTACAGCCTTTTTTGGATCCTTCCCTTTCTTGTAGATGTGTATTATGATTGCCTCTCTCCAGGTCTGGGGAAGTTGGCCTTGCGTCCAGCAGTAGTTATAAATATCTAGGGTTTACAAATTGCAATACTGCCTAGTTGTGTTCATATTTCAATGGTGACTCCAGCTGGACCCGGAGATTTCTTTGTATTGGGCTGTCTGAACGCTGACCATAACTAATGGAGTTTCAGTGCTGGCTCATGCAATCTGATGTCACTTCAGTATCTCTTTCTTCTCTCTTTGCTTCCCTTTTGCGTGCTCTGTTGATGGGGATGTCATTCAAATCTTCGTGTTGGCTGGCAAAATATTTGCGACTTGTTTTTCCATCACCGGTTCACTGTTTGCTTCCAGAGTAACTGCGCATCTCCTAAATCTTCCATAGCTGTCGGCCATCTGTCATGAAGTTGAGTGATGCTGTATTACTTCTCCAGCTTTTCCATTAGGCCCCAAGTTTGTACAGCATCAATTTGGCCATAGCTTTATGTAAGGAGAGTTACTTTCATGTGATGGTCTGGCTTCTGCTGCCTCCCTGGCTTCTGATAACTTTGTCTGAAGGTCTTCCATCTTATCACTCCAATATGGTTTGTAGTCTTTACGAGCTCCTCTTGGAATAGCCTTCTTTGCTGCTCTCATTATGCAGTAGTTGAGGTCCTTGACAATAGTTGGTCTTCTTGGAATATTGGAGAATTTAGAGACTGTGCGGTCTATAGTTAGCTGGACAGGGCGATGGTCGCTTATTCCTAGCTGTTCCACGATTTCTCTTTTGACGCATCCATAAATGTCATCTGTACAGAATGCAAAAACAAGAGTTGAAGTTGAGTCCCATGCTCTAGTGTAAAATGTTGGATCATCAGGTAAATTGATAAGTGTTTACTTATTTTCATCTTGCCAGGTTTCAGTTTATTGTCCACTCTTGTCTATATGGTCGTATCCCCAGCTTTGTGAGTGAAAGTTTAAATCACATTGATATCCTCTCACCTTAAAAGATTTGGCTGGTTGCAGGTGAGTTTCCTGATGCAACAGACATTAATGTCCTTCTCATGAAAAAAGTTATGCATCTTTTTAAAGACTCCTTCTGCATTCCGATGGGTCATCCAGAAGTTTCGCTTTTGGTCTTTCGTCCTCTGTGGCTTGTTGACCTCCTTTTGGCATACATAAAAGAGGGACTCCAGTAGCTTTAGGTGGACTCTGTCGAGGCTCAGAGCCCGGCACTGAATCTCTCTTAAGGCATCCCAGAGATTCAAAGCCACAATCGGAAATATTGTTTGACTGCGTAGGCATAACATTGTTACATGGTGCTGTGGTTTGTTAAGAGAGTGTCAATGGCCCATCTTCTGTGATTACAACTCTCTAGGTGTTTTGCTGGGGTCACCCTTAGCATTTGCCGATCCAACAACAAACCACAAGGAAGTTGTGGAGTATTGGGAGGTCAGTTTCCACAAACCAGGGCATTTCCACACGCGGGGCTTTGAGGCGTGGGGGCATGCATGCCGCATCTCAAGAAAGAATGACCACTGCCCCAACCTGGTTATCCCCAATGGCGTTTGATCGCCCCCTTCGTAAAATAAGTGCGTAACCGAGAGCACTGTCGCAAACATTTTACTGACGACACAATAACACAGTAGGGGCCATATGCAGAGCCCCGATAGACCTATCGGTGTAACCTGTGTCTGAAATGACAGAGGCTTACTGGACTCACCCATCTGCATTATGTTCCCATACCATGCCTTGCTTGAGTGGGAATTTCAGTCCAAGACCTAACGGCTACACTATGGTGTTCTTACAATGATTTATTACACAACAAGCATATTCATTGAATTTATAGCCCTCGCCAAGTACTGGTTAATACTAGCACAACAACTGGATACATAAGGCTTTATTTAAAGACATTTTCTACAGTTTTATGAAAAATTAATCCTTTCATAGAATTTTCTAAATTTTTTGTATGATGAGTAAAATTTAATGACGAATTTAAAAATAAAAATATATGTTGACGTGTTGGATTTCTTGTAAAATGGCAGTTTCCATGGTAACCGTATATCTAAAAACTGTCAAAATAGCCTAACTGTGTTA